CAGTATTCATATTCCTAAAATTGAAATGGAAATTTTCAAATAATTTTGAATAATATTTCCAAAAAATGAAAATGAAAAAAAGTACTGAACGACACACGGCCAATACGCAGATAACAAATGCAATTAATAGTAAAATCTTGTCTGTTATTTGCTACATATCGGACTTATGACGTAAATAACTTATTTCTGTATCTCCTAAAAGCTGATTTCTTAAACTTGTGGGAGCTATCCTTTCGAGAAAAGCAATATTGCAAATAAAATGATAAAAGTTTGTCGGTAAATTGTGGTAAAAAAGTGATGCGCAAAGCGATAAAATTAATTGAGAAGTTTCGTAAATATATAATAAGTTTGCGGCAAATGTCGGAACGGGAAAACTCCGGAAAAGTCCCCGTCTATATTCCGGGCAATCAGCATTGTTCCCTAATAGGTTAATACACACTATGAACTCCAGATAAATTACTAATCGATTAAATTTGGTGATGGCACTAATTGGCTTGCTAACGGTCTGSAGATAAAGGCCGTGCAGGTACCAGCATGAATCCGAAATCTGTCATTGATAACGGTCACATCTAATGACAGAATTATGTTTGCATAAAGACGAAAAAATCAAAATGAAATTTCCGAGTTGAAGTTAATTAATTTAACTGCAGAACTGTTCCCATTCGAGGAAGTTTTCTGATTCTGTTTTGATAATTTGATATAACTCAACTGCAGCGAAAGCCAAATTCATGCAAAACAAATAATAAATTAAAACATAACAGCGGTTTGAGCGCTTCCGTGGCGCGGAAAAAATTGGAGGGATGTGTGCTTTTAGGAATGGATTTCTTATGCTGGAGGTTAGAATGTTTTGAATTTTCAATCAAGCAACGGAAAGACGAATGATGCGGGGAAGAATAAGAGATATTCGAACTGCTTCGCGGAAATGGTACATTCAGATAAGGACGAACTAAATTAATCGTAAGGCTTGTACATTTTGTTGAAAGTCACTTTTAGTAATGAATAGTCGTGGCGCACTATGCCAAAGTAGGAAAAAAACAGGAAACGATACAACTGACCACTTTARGGAAATTAAAGAAAATATCAGAGATAATTTGAATATCCTTCAGATTTTTCTTTTTAAATGAAGTAAATTAATTTGAGTTGTCAAGATTTTGTGTAATTTTTCTTSAGCTTATTTGAACCTTCATTTTTCTTGCAAATACGATTAATATTTCAGGCTGAATTTATAGATTAAGCTTAATTATAAAAAAGGTATAGGAAGGCAATTTATACAAATTATTTACTCAGATACAAAGCAGTAAAAATCTCTAAAAATTCCCCATAATTTGAAAATATCGTTTTCATTTACTAATACCAATTTAAAATCATCCATTGTAAAAAATAAAAATACGGCTTAAGCCGTAAAACCATAATAAATTCTGTTATACAAAGAAAATGATTCGTGGGACGACATTTATTTGCTTTTAAACGTTTCAAAATTCTTCTTTTATCAATGTTTTCGCGTTTATTAGTGTCTGGAATTTAGGAATAAAGCAGATTTTGAAGAAGATTTTCAACTGCAAGATCAATTTCAGTTTTGTTGGAAGTTATTAGTTTATGTAAACAAATCGAGTTTCAACAAAAGATTTAATCCGGGATGTTGGTTACATAAAAAGCGCAACTCATTAATTACACTGCACAGATCAAAGATAAAAATGAGGTATTACCTACATTTAATGAATGCTTATTAATATTGTATCATATTTTTCAGCTGTTCTAATTATTATTTTTTCGATATAATGAAARATTTGGGTTTCAGAAGCTGCATGTTCATAGATGCATTTTTATTTTAGTTATTTCATTTGAGTTATTAATGTTGGGTATACACTTTATACAAAAAATGAAAGACAATTCTTGATTAATTATTTTTCTAGTTAGGTATTGGTTGGTATTTTCAGTAACTAAATATCAGTTTAATTTAGGTATCAGTGGATAATAAATTAATCAAAGACATGGAAAGTAGTTATCAAAACACTCTTGAGTTTTTTTAATGAACACACTTTATTACAAATAAGTCACGTAAGAAAAAGTTTACCCCATGAAGCCGTAGAACGAATGGGGTAYTTTTCTTAAGTGACTTATTTGTAATAATAAYACAGGTGTATCATACAAAAMAAAAACTCGTAATTACTACTTAAAATGGATTTTGAATTTTATTTTGTTTGATATTTTAGTTATCATCACAAATTGTCATATTTAAATTATCAGTTTATAATTAAAAATTAGTGCAAAGTGCAAATAGTATTTTAGTATCTTTCTCAATGTGGATGGTTACTTCGATGCTAAGATCAACTTATAATGTGGTATACCTGTCTTTGTAAATATTAAAAAAATAACTCACGTGTAAGTAATATTATACTTTATCTACGACTGCTCGTATAAGATGCCATAACGTAACTCATTTGAGTTACGTAATGAAGCTCATTATCTTAAGCCCGGTTTCTCAAAAGTGACATTTCAAGTAACATTTCAATAAATTTCTTTAAAATAAAAACATTTTTTTATTATCTACGGCTTTTCTTTAGAATGTGCTAATTACTACGGACTTGTTGACAAATATCATGAACAACAATAATCAATACAAAGAAACGTGTCCAGAAAATTCATTCCTTGTAATATTGAGGTTTTTACGCTTTTTCAAACTAATACYCGATGTGGTTAACTGTTGATTCTMAAAAAAATAATTCAAAACGTCACAAAAAATATCAAACAAAACGTAAATTATTTTTCAATTTAAGCAGTCACAGAAAAAWTTTTGTATGTAACACGTAGGACAATGCTCACGCCCTTACACTAACTCTGCCTCACGCCCTSGTCAATGCAATTTTTCGCGCTCTTTTTGTTATTATATAGAGCTATTGCTCTATATCTTACTAGTCACAAAAACAACTGTTACATCACTCGTGAGTTATAACATATCTTAATCATTTAAAATTATCATAGTTATGGTTCAATTATTAAAATGAGTACATGCATGATTGCATGCAAGTATGGTTACAAGATTATAGAAATGTTTTACTAAAATAAGYTTTGTTAATGCAAAGCAGCAGAGCCATAGAAAAATCTCAAAGCATGAATTTAGGGCAGCCTTTGTCTTTAGAATATACAACGTGTGCATAATGGCGTCTGCGGTGTAGTGTTTCATTATGCGAAAAATAATGACGTCTTTAAGACAAGAAGATAATTTGTGTWTGCCAGTTGCCATGTAATATTTTGGTTTCTTCCTTGTTCTTTTTTCACATCTATTCATCATTCATTTACTGGCAGTAACAATAATAGTTATGAYAGTTATTTGTTCCTTAAACGCATCTCATCATTTAAGAAGTTTATTTTGTAATTAGGATATTTTTTTTGTGTAGCGTCGCTGAAAAATGTCTGAAATAATGTTGAAAATTATCGTCCAGAAAATAAGACTTTTATTCTCGCACTGTTGCGCGATGAAACTGTTCATCAAAACACAGCAAATGCACCAATTCACGTGTTAGTAATGATCAATGATCATTTATTTTGTCGTATCTTAAATGTCTGCTATGGCGAGATTTCGATGTAACCGATTCATTATTGCACCCGCTCCACGGATAAATTGCACCGACCTAGCCCTAGTCATTAGAAAGTCGAAATGGTGACCGGGATTCCGGTATTACTCCCCTCAGATTTTAATATCGAAGGCAAAGAAGTTGAGTGGCTCTCGTCGCAATATCCTCGTTTCATTTCACAAAGTTTTTGCATCTGTAAGTAATGCATTTTTAACAAGATCGGATTTTTTGCCACAAACATTCTAATTTATTACAAACTGCGCCATTGATATAAAGTTGAATTTTGCAAATTAAAGAACAATAAAACAGGAGAAACAATTTTCAACAAGGCGCAGAACGAATTAATCTTAGATGTGCACGTCCATATTTCGGTATTTGGGGATGATTTATTCAAGCCACAATGCAAAAGCCTTGTGTTAGACAAATGCCACGAATATACGAGGACATATTTTCTTGTATTTCACTAAATTCTTCACTGGACGATCTCAGACATAAGTTCCGACGATAAATTGGAAGATGAAGTAAAAACCACTCTACTCATAAATATGTAGAATTCCAGGAATAATATCGTACGTGAGCTACAATACCGACCAGAATCATTCACGATGCATGCCGCATCATCGCCTGACCTTGCTCCACATCCTTTAAAATACCCCGCAATAACGCCACCTATACAACATTTTAAACTGCGGAAACGCCGACAGCATCCCCAAATGTGGCATTCCTCACAAAATTTGTGACGATTTTGACTTTTCAACGGCCTCGCACACGCTTTCCATTACAGATAAAGCACAACTTGAAAATAGTTTTTTTTTTACTGTAAGTTAATTATTAAATATTGGAAAATAATACTCCCCTAAAACTAAACCTTATATTTATATTTTCTTTGTCGATAGCACAAGTTAGCGAAAAAATTTAATGCAAAAAGCAGTTTTCCTCTACAAGTTTTAACCCAATTCAGATATCTTTTTTCTGCCACCTTTATGTGGAATAAGTGAACGGGAAAGTTTAGATAGGATCCAYATTATTTTTAAACCACTTAAAYTTCCACAGCAGCGAAAGTTGCCCAACGAGAGGATCATTTTATTTCATAAAATTTGATGTTTCTGTTTCGGGTTCTCAATTTGGTAATTACCCTCTATCCCCGATCGATAAAAATACCTGGCGATTTGTCAAATTACGTATAAATTCCATTATTAAATCAGAATAAACAATCAATTTGGAGTATAATTAATATCGATGTCTGTCGATTTGTTGGAACATTATTCCGAGCGCGGCAGATAATTTATCGCAGGTGGGAGCACATGAAGAAAAATAWATCAATTCGATTATTAATGAATCAGTTTTGGCGATTCGTGATCGGGTTTATACTTACATATCAAAAGACAGATACGTCAAAATACGAGACCATAAAAGGCGGCTTACCGGTTCTGGGCACGTAGAGGTTGAGATAGAGGCAGTCTTCGCTTTCATTGGCAAGTAGAGGCAGGAGTTTCTCCAAAWACAGCAGTCTTCCTCTGGGGAATTCGAGCAGGGCTTCTGACCTGTTTCCTATATCCGGCGGTCGCTGCGGACACACAGCACCAAAGCGATCCGCAAGACGCGTGTTTTTCCATATCGAAGGCGTTACTGGTGGCATATACCTAAAAGCAGAGGAAAAATTGAAAGATTATTTATATATCTTTATCATGTGCCGGAGCGGTAAACATAACTTATTTATATCCAAGGGTGCAAAACTGAAAAAAACGAGCGGTTTGAATGGGAATCGGCAAAAAATTCTTAAAAGAAACACTTCTTTCGGTGAATTCCAAAATTACACCGTTTTTTTTTATTTCTGTTGTCTTCCAAAAACTGCAATTGTTTTAATAAACATTAATTTGTTTTTTTTTCTCTAAATAACAGAAATGATTACTATTTATTAAATTATGTTTCATAATTTCCCGGTGATATGTACTTTTGAACCTCTATTGCATTTAAATTATTCTCCTCTCAAAGCAATAATAAAAGCTACGATCAGCTTTTCAGGCCTAAACTTTCAAACAAAACCGCGCGTTTTTGTACTTTCACTTCGAATTTAATTAAATAGTGTGCAAATAGTCTAGCGACTGCTATAAACCTTCATTTTCAGTTAGAGGAATTCGTGCGGTAAATTTTCTCCAGTTGAATAAATTCACCGAATTCCTACAAATTTAATCAATTCTTTTCGATTTCGTTTTTGAAGCGACAAGATCCTTTTATGTAAAGAAAGGTAAATTGTTATGTCCTTATATCCCACACCAGCGCTGTTATCTCCTATTCATATGTTGAAAGTTGGTCTCTTGTGAGATTCTGTTGGTGAAACATTTCAAAGCCACTGTCAATATTTTTTTACCATCTTCAGCAAGCTATCATACAGGTATAATTTTAGTTAAAACAAAACGATTTTGTAAAAGCGGGCCAAACTTGCTAAAATGTATTATGGCAAGCATGATTTTAACAAGACGTAAACCTTGCAGCAAATTGCTTTCTGAATACGATAATTAGCTAAGTTGTTGCAATTGTAAATAACGGAAGTAAGAAGTTTCAGTGCTTGTTTAAAAGCTTTAAAGCTCTTACTCTGCGTGCATAACAAGTATTAAATATCACGTCATGCAACAAAAAAATCATTTTTTACCTAATTACTGCTATAGTGTTACATGATCTAAAATTTATAAATCTAGTTCAAAAGAAGCTTTTCATCTCATTCATAACTAATTTACAAACATTATATAGACATTATGCAAAGGAATCCCTTTCCTTCCTCTGTTGCTTTTATGTATGGTTTTGTGATTATTTATGCCAACAAGCCTTTCGCTTAAATTTAATTAATTACGTAGAAAAGCAATGTAAATTAATTTTTAACGAAACGCTGCTGTTATTGTAAAAATCGTCGTTATTAGGGTGACACCGGATAATAAAAATCGATTTTTGATTAAGCTCTAACGGAAGCTCGTCATATCCAATCATATCAACTTGTCATTAAACAAGTTGTTTCAAGCAACACGTTGCTGCAAAGTATCAAGAGACCCATCCCGAAAATATATGAAACATCTTGCTTGATACAAATCAAAAAATACTGCACTTTTCGACTTTAATCAGTTCTTTCAGTCTCGAGAGAGTAGAATTCATCATTGACGCTCTAAGGTCCTCGAGCCTGTCTGAAGAGTTTTATCGGCAGATTTCTCATTGGCTTAAAATTATAGTGTCGATTAGAGATCCCCAAAGGCTAGCAAACTTGATAAAAGTTGTTAGTTTTGCACCAAAAAATTTTAAAATTTGCAACAATAACCTAATAATATTCAAATTAATTTTAATTATTTCAATTTTAATTTTAAATTAAACCGTGGGCGTAATAAATTGGACACTTTGTCAGAAATATTACTCGGAGAGCTTGAAAAAGTTTTGCAAGTGCAAAATAACGAACAACGATCTATCTTGTACCCTTTACTAGCAAAAGAGTGGTCTCTTGAGGCCCGTTTTGCACTTCTTGTTTACTTAAGCTTCGTTAATAACATCTCGCGCTTTCTTCACCGTCGCTCTAATTGCGGTGGAATAAAACAGTTTCCCGAATTAGGTAAATGGAAATGGCGGAGAAGTGCAAAAGAACGTCTTATTTGTCGTAATAAAACAAATGACGAGATTATGTTAAGTGTGTTAAATGGAACTAACTTAATCTTTTTCCATCGAGCGACGCTGACGAAATTAAATTTCATAATCCGTAAGGCCACCACTAAAATACGTGGTTTAATTACGTTAATGCTGACTTTAAAAATATGCAAATTTGTCTAGCTGGCTAATACCTTGAGAAAAATTTCTAGAACGTGAGACTACTTTATTAGAATTTTGATGGGTTCGAGTGAAACCTTTTTGGAGAAGTCTTGTTTTGTCTCTGATAAAATAAACCTTGATTTTRAGTTGTACTGAGCTTAATGACAGTCGATGTAGCGTCTCTAAAGTTAAACACTAGAATACATAGAACGGAGTTAATTACAACTAGTTTAATGACATTAGACGGTGATGCACAAGAGACAAGGCSCGATGGTTCGGCACAGTCAAGCACAATAGTTTTGTAAATATTGGAATGTAATTTTGTTTATTTGAGTAATAAAATTTTTGAATACGTTAGAAACGATTGTTTGACGAGTACTGAAACAATACTTTCACACAGAATTTGCATATTGCAATTAAGTTCTCACCTGTATTTTTATTTTATAAATTGCATCGTAAATAAAAAGTGCCACGTTTAGAATTACCTGTGTCAAGCCCTACAAATGTTGTGTGTTCTCGAAAAAATGATAATTGTGCCAGCTTAGCACATTTGAGTGCATGTGCTTTTATGATAAATATGAGAATAATTTTAGAAACAGTTGTTAAATATGTTAAAAAAAAACTTCAGTTCAAAATTTTTACATTACAATCCAAATTTATTATTTTTTAATATAAAGTAAGATACCAGAAACATAGAAAAAATGTTAAAAAAATGTTGTCTATAAAAGTTTTGAAGATATGAGAGTTTAAATTTTGCACTTTGACGCTATTTATTTCTGTTGGAAAAATAATTTCCAAGTTTTGTTGCTACAGGCTATTAGAAGAAGAAACAAGGAAGCTGTATCCTAAATTGTAATTTTTTTCAATGTTATTTGTGGCTTTTATTGGCAAAATTTTCGTATCTTTACTACATAACTGTAAAAAAAACATATACAACATCATATCAGTATCATTAAATAGACATAAAATGTCAAATGTCAAAAAATAAATGTCAAAATTTTTTTAAAGATTGAATTTTTTAAACATTTTTTATGTTCCTGGTATCTTTATCTTACTTGAAATTTTTCTCTGGGGCGCGAGTTCTGGCGCACCCTGCATGTAAATTTTAACAGCGTTGAACATAAACAAATAATTTTTGTGGGAAAAAGTCAGGTTTTTATGGTGAAAACCGAGAAGTCAGTTTTACGCATTTTTTTTTTCGTTCAGTTCAAACATTTGCATTGTACAATAAATTAAAATAAGCTATCTGAAATAACAAATTACTTCCCTTTAGGGTAAAAAATACATTGAAAGCAATATTTGAAAATATAATAAAATAAAACTTATACTTTTATTTTCTAACACACACTTATTTATTCGTGTGAAAAAAACAAACACTATATGAAAAATTAATTCGGCTCAGTTCTTCGTTTCATCATTGTGACGCTTTGTAACGCAASCTGCTCCAGTCCAATCCTTGCTCAAATAATTTTAATATCTCATATTTGCTTTCAAAAAAATATCTCAACACACCATTTGAATACGCGGTCGTGCGGTGAATTATGGAACACTATAAATTCGACGCATTTACATTTCAATTCCTCTCCGTGCTGTAAGTAATCTCCAACGTACCTAAGACTGCCGACGGGAGGCGTCGCGTAGGGAACCCCGAGGAACGCCTCGACGGGTGGATTGATGTGAATCATGACGCCCCTCAGGGGCCCATATTTAGTCCGCACCACCCTCGTGCTGTACTTGTGTACCAAGAGCGAAGCGCGGGCGCCCGAGTCCTCCACAAGAATCACTACCACTATCACCCACATGGCACAGAAAAACGCGGAAACAGAACTCAACTGTCTCGAAAGAAGCGTTAGTTGCACACGCATGACGTCACCACCGATGACGGTCACGGCATTTACGCTGCTGCTGCCTCATTATCCCTTCGCCGGGTTACTGCAGGATTTGATCTGAAAAAGAAAACAATTAGAATTTCGAATGCCATAAAGGCAGCTTAATTAATAAGGCTTCCAGCTGACATTCGAACAAAAAAAAACTTCAAATGAAAGTTTTGCAACCGGAATTTTTATGCCCGGGGCCGGATAGTAATTAGCAAGGTGCTGACATTTTACTTGAAGGTAAATCGGGGTGGAAAGCAATAAATACAGCGTCTGAGATGTGGCAAATTTTTCACATTTATCCGTACAGATTGTTGCACATTTGTTTGAATATTAAGCGATGTTATAGTCCTTTCGCCGATATATGAGTTTGCTTAAATGATATAAATGTAAATTTACATAACTCGCATTACACCGTAGAGATTAATTCTAATACCTAATCTATTGGTTAATTTTAATGGTCTGCTCTATTTAATATGTAAATAGTTTGAATATTATACTAATATTATACAATAATTAAATTTGCATATTATATTTATTAGGGCCCTCAAAGACAATTTGCAATTAAATAATTTAACATTTAATGACTTAACAAAAAAACACTTATGAACCTTTAAAAGCACCTATTTATTAATTTTTAAATTGTATATGAATGTGTGTTAACTAGTAAATACACCATAATAAAAACAAAATTATGTTATTCTTATGAGATCAAACTAAAAAAAAGTAATTAAAAGATAGCTTTACATGAAATACATTGAATTTTCAAATAGCAAAAGTTTTCCCGTCGCATTCACCATTTTTATAATTATGTATTTAATTTTGAAAACAATAATTAGACCGAATTAAAATAGTCCTAAATCTCACTTCATTTAAACCTTAAAAAAATAATCAACTAAAATTGGAGCCAGATTATAGATTTAATATAATATGCTTGTAGCCAAAAAAAGTAATCAATTTACAAGATTAAAAATTTATGTCAATGTATAATAACTAAATAATTTGGTTATCGATTTCAACAAACGTCAATATAGGACAAAATTTTGTTATGAGAGGGCTTATTATCTCAATTATCTTTCGGAGCACCTCTGTGCCCTTTCTAGGGTAACTTAATTACTGGCTCCAGATATATGTAGCCGATAACATTGTTCCGTTTTTAATAATTACAGTCTCTTTTATCTCCATTCTCTTTGTGAAAAAGCCCAATAAAAGAAAGCTGAGACGAACGAGATAATCACTGATTGATATAAAACCAACTTTTTAGACCAGAACAATAAACTACCTTTCGCGCCAGCTTTCGCAACAAAAAAATTCCGTATAGCTTGAAACGTTGAATTATAAATCTCTGTCACCCTCTCTTGAAAGAAAAAAATATATAGATACCGTCCGGAGAATAGCCAACGAGAACAATTATCACATTATCTTAATTGAGTCGGGGAAGATGTGAAAAGAAAAACCGCATGTTCCATCCAAAAGGAAGTGGGGCCCGCGCGATAGCACCAATTGAATATTTGCCAATGCTATTAAACTAACAACGTCACTAATACGACGTAAAATTTGACGGTTATTATTGCATTAGCGAGAATTTACCTTTAGGGTGGGTTTTGAGGGGCTTAATTTGTGCGTCGGATTTTCCATTGAAGACACCTCTAACGAGGAACATGCTGTCGGGAGTCTTTCGTGGAGCACTTCATTTTCACATCACATAATTAAGTTTCAATTAAGYGAACAAAAAGGTAAATCGTCTACATAAAGACGAGAAACCAAATTTAATTTGGACAGGAAATAAGGTCATCTATCTATATCGGAGCTTTTGAGACGAGCTTTGCATTAAAATATCGAGGACCCTCAAGCCATGGCCATCTGTTACCGAAACATGTCCATTTCTGAATTTCCTGCGCCGTATGTCGAAACTTCCGCTGCTAACTCCCGTCTACTTTATAGAGAAGTCCATGTTCGCATCTGTCTCTTATCCGGCTGTACTCATATCAGACTCACGCAAAATTCATCAATTGTGTCCATTGTCACAGAACTTGCCGTCTTGCTCCTCATTTCTGTTTTGATTTTTGCCAGGCTATCCGCTCTTTAACAATTCCTTCATTGTACGCTAAACCCAATTTCGTCAGAAACTCGAAAATTGAATAATCAGCCTTTAAGTTTTGTTGCCTTTGTTCGCAAATTTATTCTCGATTCATTCTTCATCCCAATCTGGAATTGAAAAGGACTCAGTTTCACAGCGCCATTTATCTTGCTACAAATGCACCACCTGCAACAAAATTCCCAAATTTATATGCATACGCGACGCATTTCCTCGAAACATAAACTATCCCCCACAAAGAAATGCGCAAAATTATCCACCATAGTCAAAAGAAATATTATCTCAAATGGAAGAGGGCCGTCCTATCTCCGGAAACTCACATATTGCCCCGGAAGTCAACTCCGACGTTCACTAGCCCAAACAGATCTTATCTATTTATTACCCAGTTTTCAAGCATCGAACAGCAATTTTGCAACAACTTGTTTTTATTTTCTGATAAAACAAAAATGTGACTTTTATTTTTAGATCGATACTCCTATTAACCACCGAAAAAACATTGCGGAAATTTCTAATAAAAGAATTTCTCTTCAATAAAGCAAAAAGCTACTCGGTCGTGTAATTGCCTACAAAACATAATGAACCAAAATTGTAAATTTTTCGGAAATTATGTGATAAAACGAGGTATAAACAGATACGCATATCTTTAATTTATCACACTAACGGGTTTAATGAAGCCCTGGTTACCGCAAAAGCAAACAATAAACGCAAATTTAAATGAAAACTTTGCGGTTATAAGCACAGCGGTTGACTAATTAAAGAAGCATGGAAAAGTTTATTAACAAAAATGCTGCAATAGTTTTGCTCGGGTGGTGCTTTCCAAGAATTGAAATTAAATTAAATACTTCTTGAATAATCTTATTAAAACTGAAAATATTTTGTTTTGGCAAAAATGCTCGAACAGGTCAATTTTCTTTTTAAAAAATACACATACAGGGTTATTCATAAATATGAAGCAATATTTGAACCTCAAAAATGACCTATAAAATGATGTTAATTTAAATAATAACTCGTGTCCTATCTCTACTGATAAGAATTTTACAGCCCTCGAAATGTGGGTATGGAAATTTGATTTTTTTGTAATAACTTTGGAACTATTTGACCAAATATTATAAAATTTGGAACATTTCCCTGTGACAACATACTCTTTAATCTGGTAATCACGAAAACCGGATACATCCACTCAATTTCCGGTTCCAGCAGTTGCAGGTCACATTTTCTGTGTTTTTCCATTTTTTTGCTCTCTTAACACCAATTTTTTATTGCCCAAATCGATAGTGTAATCAATTTTGATTAAAAAACGCATAACCTTTAATACCCCTAAAATGGACCGTTTCAAAGATATTTTAATTTAAACTGAGGACTGCACAACGCTGAAACCAAAAAGTAGGGATTTTGAATGGATGATATCCAGGGTAACAAATGACCATGGTCTCACTAATCGCTGTCAGGCATMTGTCAACTTTGACATCGGACGATTATTAGACAATTAATCGAAAATATTTAATAAAAGAGTTTAMSTCAGATTCCAAATATAACTTAGAATAAATCCAAATGGAATTAATTCATAAAAAATTTACAAAAATTTATCGTCAAAGTTAACAGATGCCTGGCAGAGATTTATGTGACCATGGTCATTGGTTGCCGTGGATACCACTTTTTCAAAATCCCTATTTTTTGATTTCAGCTTTGTGCAGTCCTCAGTTTAAATTAAAATATCTTTGAAACGGTCCATTTGAGAGGTATTAAAGGTTATGCGTTTTGTATTCGATATTGATTACTCTATCGATTTGGGCAAAAAAAATTGGTGTTAAGAGAGCAAAAAAATRAAAAAACACAGAAAATGTGACCTGCAACTGCTGAAACCGGAAATTGAGTGGATGTATCCGGTTTTCGTGATTACCAGTTTAAAGGGTATGTTGCTACAGGGAAATGTTCCAAATTTTGTAATATTTGGTCAAATAGTTCCAAAGTTATTACAAAAAAATCAAATTTCCATACCCACATTCCGAGGGCTGTAAAATTCTTTTCAGTAGAGATAGGACACGAGTTATTATTTAAATTAACATCATTTTATAGGTCATTTTTGAGGTTTAAATATTGCTTCATATTTATGAATAACCCTGTATAGCATCCACATATTATTCATTGGAAATTTTAACATTTATTTTTTCACATTTTACTTTTTTTATGTCTTTTAATATTACTGATGATCTTGTATACGTCTTTTCATAATTATTTAGTAAAGGTACCACAACTTGGCCAATAAAAGTCACAAATAACATTAAAATTCAGAATACCATGTTCCTGGTATCTTAACTCACTTGACATATTTCTCTAATGCGTGAGTTCTAAAGCATCCTGTGCAATATGTAAGTTGGCAAAATATATAAAAATAATTTTAAAAAAATATATTTTTTTAATAAAATTGTTTGGTAAATATTAATTTCTTTCCCGGCGCATCCACCATTTTTAACTATACCTTTCTACTATTTCCAATTATCTGCTTTAGACTAATTAAAAATTTTTTAACATTAAAAAAAAACTTCCTTTTTAATATGTACCTTTAACCAAAAAACGTATTGAAAATAAAGCCCATTTGATGCTTGGTGTATAAAAGCAAATCTAACTACAGTAGTGTTTTGAAAATAACATTAAAAGCTTTAAAGCTACTTTACAAGTTTTGTTCATACTCATATCGTAATTAAAAAAAAATAAAAATAGCTGTGAAGACAACAAGAGTTTTATAGACAGTTCAAAAATTGAAGTCGTAGTTTAAATTCAAGTGACCGTTATAAAACAAGATTTTTAAACTATAAAACTTGTATTGTCTTCAAAATTTCTTAAAACACTAATTTTGTATCAAAAATTTTGCTCAATTAAKAATTTGTTGTAGACTATGGTTATAGGGAAATTTGTCAAAATAATGCCAAAATTGACAAAATGTCAAAACAAGAGTGTTTTTTGTAAGATATAAAACACAATATGATTGACGACGTATTTTATAAATGAGCCTATATTAACGGCAACATAAGAGATAAGCTGATATGCACCATAGGAACAGTATCTGATATTAATAAGATAAGAAACTAAAATTGTAACTCTAAATTTATCACTTTTGAGTTGGTTTAAGATAAAATAAATGTTAAAAATCCGAATAAACGGGTTATTTTCTTTGACTAATCCCGTAACCGATTAATTATGTATTACATAGGTCTACAACCCTTTGGAAGTTTGACGCTGGTTAGCATTGATTGTAAAATGTAAATGTGAAATATGAATTCGTTKGCTTTATTAGCTTTGCATTTAAATTTGAATACGTATTCAGTGTTTCAAGCCGGATCGTTTCATTTTTTCTTTAGGCAAAAGTTCGAYACACAAAGGAATAATTTAAAGCTTTGTTATTCTTTAATAAAGCTGGAGAACAACTGGTCGAAGATAAGAACCTTTTTATTTTCGTCGTTGTAGAAAATCGTGCACTTGACACGTTGTATGCGTCGTATGTAGACGCCCTGCGTCGCGCCGCTACAGCATAATAAGTTTTTGCAKAGTGTAAGCCTTAATTCAGCCAGATCCTGCTCTCGACAGGTTAAAGCACACTTTATAAAAAACGTAAAAACACCAAGGAGAGCGGCCATGAACTTGGAAAGATGAATAATCGTGGTTTAAATTTATAGGAATTTTTTGTTTTTGATGGTGGAAAGAAATACTACTCGCAGCGGTGAATTTGTATTCATTTAATACATTTAGAGACAAGTTGAATCAAATTTTAAATATGCGTATTTTTATTTAAGATCATAATAAAGCATGGAATTCTGCAGTAAGTGAAATTTATTGTAAAAAGAGTTTTAAAATTTTATGATGACTGTAATGGTTGTAGCAGTATTGAAAGAAAGCATTTTAAGAAGATGCAAGTCTGGAGCAATTGCAAGCTTTATTATGTACCTTATCATTTTTATAACAGAGCTTTCTCTCGTACTTGCGGAAAGCCGATTCATCACCTTAACGTACATGGCGGTTTGTGAGCTTTCCTCTGACCCTTTTGATATAAATCACATATTATACATTATATCGAAAAGCGTTTTGTAGAGATTTCGATAAATTATACACGACGCAATTTTTCATCCGTTGATTTGTACGTTAGAAGAATTCCAAAATTCAAACAACAATAGAAAGCTTTTCCTAATCGATTTATTTACACTATTTAACACAATAAATAAAACTCGAGTCAAACACAACCCAAGTGTGAAGCGCTTATTGTTATTTATTACTCCATTCTATAGCATATCCAATGAAATGTAACGATTTATTCAAATTAAAACCTTTGCAAGTACGAGTATGTAGCAAATTGAAAATTCATACGTTCCAATTGAACAACTATTAGTAGATTTTCCTCTTCGATCTCACGCTTTTTAAATTTTTTTTGTTGGTCTGCTAAAACTCAATCTGAATAACTGTTTGTTGCTACTAGTGAATAATTAATTCGATCACTGATGCACAAAATCAAATTATGAAACTCGACAATTTCCATAACAACTAACGGCCATCTTGGAATGCTACTACCACTACCTCAAAACACACAACACGTCCAACAAAAATGACATGTAATGTGCACAACATTTTACTCTTAAACATAAAAAAAAGTAATTATAAAAAAATATATTTTACAGACCATCTTCCTGACAAATGAAGCCAAACAAAATTAAGGTTACACTAGCAATTAATAAAAGTTTAATTGTATGTTCAGCGTGAGTATTACTTGTTCTTCCGGTATCAATATCAAGTGCCAGATATTGTAGTTTGTCAACAACCACGTGTTGATACACCTGTATTATGCGGTTGTTGTTATAACCAAGTTGCTATTACCCCGCTAAAATTACACACCTCAATAACAATAACATAAGGAAAATTTGTGCCAAACTTCCTTTTAGTGTAGCAATTAAAAGGTCTTATGTAGTCAAAGAAAATTTTAATTCAAATTTGGCAAGATTCGTTTCACATAGTGATACTGCCTATTTCCAACAGCGTGTTTCATTCCGACTGAATCTTTTCGTAAATTTCCCTTGAAATTATTCACGTTGTTTGCGGAAGCTTTTTGGTAGCTTCAACTTTCACTGTTGTGAGAAAGAGTTTCCCTTTGGAAATTTTCCGTGCGTACAATGATTCATTGA